TGTTTCGCTGGCCGCGGCTACACAGTTCTTGAAACCTGCATGTCCCGATCCCCCGCTCTAGCAGCGAGAGCAGCAGCGGGGGGAGGAGGAGGGGGGCCGCCGGTGCAGAAAGGAGGCACAGCTACCGGACGGCGCCCCCGAGTCCGTTTCCTCGTAACAAGGGGAGGCCATGCCCGAAGGTCGCGTGTCATCTCATGGTCCGGCACGGGGTAGCGCGGAATGACGGCCTCATGGCCGTTGTGTGGCCGCAGGTGGCTCTGCGTCAGGAGCCACTGTTGGCGGTGCTTGGAGTCGCCGCTCCGGCGCCGGGTGTCGCCTCCCGGTTCTCTCTTCTCCCTGCGGTTGGCCGTGGGCGCCCGAGCTTGACGGGCATCTCACGGAGGGGATGTGGCCGCGGCCGGCGGACTGTCCTCCGCCCGAGGCGGAGTTTCAGCGCCCACGGCCCTCGGATCTCAGCCGCTGTCCCTCTACTATGCCATTTCGAAGGGTCCTGGCTTCTGGCCGCCTGGCCCTGGGATCCGCGGACGCGGAGCGGCCAGTTGTACCCGTGTGTTCACGAAGAGCCTCGCTGGAAGCAGCCAGCACCACCGGTTGTGGCTGCACGCGCGTTCCTGCCGAACGTCCGAGAGCTACAGGTTCGGTCTGTCCTGGAGGGTGACCCTGATGGCTCAGCGTGTTTCCTGCCAGTGCCTGGGGCCGCCGTCCCCAGCCTCCGCCTGGAGCCCAGGGCCCTGTCCCCGTGTGGGGCCTGCCGCGCTGTGGCCCGCCTTCCGCTACCCCTTTCTGAACTGGTCAGGGTGGGCTGCGTCTCCAGCACCCGGCTTCCTGCTTTAAGAGAACAAGCTTAGGGTCACCTGGGTGGCGCAGTGGTCAGACACTCAGCTCGCGGTGTCGGCTCAGGTTGTGGCCTCGGGGTCGTGGTCTCGGGGTGGTGGGACTGAGCCCCCGCGTTGGGCTCTGCATTCAGCCGCGAGTCTGCCAGAGAGTCTCCTTCTCCCTCTGCCCCTCTGCAAAATAAATAAATAAATTAAAAAAAAAAACAAAACAGTATAGAAAACCTGAACTCCCACCCAGGCTCTGCCGTGGGGCCCAGATACACGGACGAGCTCACCACGCTCGGCTTCCCTGTGGGGCGCGGTCACAAACGTTCATGTCCGCGTCCTTTATCGTTTTCTCCTCTGACACGTGGGCTATTATAAATTGTACTTCAGGATTTCTAAATATATGGGTATCTCTAATTTTTTGATTTTCTGCTTAGTCTAGCTATATTCAAAAAGCATATTTTTTAAATTTTCTGTTCGTGATCCCAGCAAGGCCAGATGCCCAGCCCCTCTAGGTTCTGTTTGCCCAAAGGTGGGTTTATTTCGCCTTAATTTTTTTTTAAAGATTTATTTATTTGACAGACAGAAATCACAAGTAGGCAGAGAGGCAGGTACAGAGAGAGGGGGAGGCAGGCTCCCTGCTGAGCAGAGAGCCCGAATCAGGGCTCGATCCCAGGACCCTGGGATCATGACCCGAGCCAAAAGCAGAGGCTTAACCCACTGAGCCACCCAGGCGCCCCTCGCCTTAATTAAAAAAAAAAAAAAATTTATTTATTTGAGAGAGAGAGCGTGAGTTCACCCACAAATGGGGAAGAGGCAGAGGGAATGGGAGAAAGAGAAGCAGGCTCCCCGCTGAGCAGTGCCCCCACGCGGGGCTCGATCCCAGGACCCCCAGATCATGACCTGAACTGAAGGCAGAGGCTTCACCGACTGAGCTGGCCAGGTGCTCCTTAATTTTATTTTTTACCCCTTTGGAGGTAATGTATCTTTTTTCCTGTAAGCAATTTATTTTCTTTAGGATTTATTCACTTTAGAGAGAGGAAGACGCACTGCCCTGCAAGTGGGGAAGGGGCAGAGGGAACGAGAGTCCCGCAGGCTCCCTGCTGAGCGCCGAGCTCAATGCGCGCTTGATCCCGGGCCCTGAGATCGCGACCTTAACCGAAACCGGGCCGCGGACGCTGGGCGGACGGACGGAGCCCCCGGCGCCCTCCTGACTCAGGAAGGCCTTTCCTGCTGTGCTCTGGCTTTAGCCGCTTTGCTAATAGCGCTTGTCACCGCTGTGACCTGATGCCTGCGAGTTTTGAAAAGTTTTCTTTCACTGTTGCTGCCTCCTGCCTGTCTTCCGTTTGTGGCGCGAGTCCCCTGTGCCTCAGACCGGTCCTGGCCTCCGCACCCCGACACCCCCGCGGGTGTCACGTTCCAGCTCCGGGGCTCCCGTGCGTCCGAGCGCAGCTGCGTCTGTGACGCCACCAGGTTTACCTGTTGAGCTCTTGTATGTCTAGTCCTTGAACTTGCTGTCGGTTCTTCGTTGTTTCCGTTCTCCGCCCAAACTCTGTAATCTTTAATTCCCTGAACGCGTGCCTTGAAGTCGGCCTCCAAGAGCAGCGCGTCCGCTCCGTCCAGGTCTCCTCTTGTCCATCGTCTTCCTCGTGTTTGGGTCGGACCGTGTTTCTGCACTTGCCCGATTATCTTGGGGGTGCCGTACGCTGCATAGTAAACGTTTTCGGGGGTGCCTGGGTGGCTCAGCCAGTTAAGCATCTGACTCTCGACTTCAGCTCCGCTCGTGAGTTCCGGGTCGAGATCCAGTCCCGTGCGGGGCTGTGTGCTGAGCTGGGGGTCCGCTTGGGACTCCCTCTCTTCCTCTCCCTCTGCCCAGCCCCCGACTGGTGCGCGCACAGTCTCCTGCACGACACCCTGCTCCTGCCACTGCAGATCGCCTGCCCCCATCAAGGACTGAGTGGCCTGCAGCTGGGCTGTCTGTGCCCACAAGGGCGGTCATTTCCCGGAGAACGGAGTTCTTCAGGATTTCTACCCAATCCGGCCACCAGATAAGACACGGCGCGCATTTACATTGGAATTTCAGATAAACAACAAATCCTTTCGCGTGTGCGTGTCCAAAGCTGCGTTGTGTAGTTTTATCAGCTCAGCCCAGCGAGCCCAAACCCAGGGCTTCCTGGGCACGCCGGTTGTACCCTCTGGGCACGGTGGTCTGCCCAGGCCTCGCCAGCTGTTGGCCCCCCGCCGTGGGTGCTACTGGGTGAAGCCCACCTTCCCGGGCAGGGCCCTCCCTCCCGCACTCCCTGCGGCCTCCACACAGACTCAGGATAGAGTCATTGTGTCGTCTTTCTGTCGCTGTCAGTGGGGAGGCCGGGAGGAGAAGCCCCGAGTGGTTTCGAGCTGCTGGCTTCCCGTCAGAATCCCACAGACACCGACACACAGGCTTGTCACATTCACCGTTGCCATGGCGGGCGAAGTGTCCCAGGAGACCCCGCCGTGGCGTCCCCCTCGGGCTGGGTGCCCGGCGCTGTTCCTGTCTTCCTAAGGCTCAGCGGCCTGGCTAGGGCGCGACTGGTGCCAGGATTCCTGATTCCTTGTGCACTGTTGTCACCCTTAAGATTTATATCAGGAACATTTAAAAAAGATTTATTTATTCATGAGAGAAAGACAAGAGGGCCAGAGAGGCAGGCAGAGGGGGAAGCAGCTCCCCTACGAGCAGGGATCCCGATGCGGGACTCGATCCCGGTACTCCGGGATCATGACCTGAGTTGAAGGCAGAGGCTTCACCGACGGAGCCCCCCAGGTGCCCCAGGCAATTTTTCTGTAGTTCGTCTCTAATTAGCCTCACAGTCTCGTCTCCCCTGCTGCTGCTGCACTTCTGCTCACGTCCCCCACGGTCACCACCCGGTTCGCGCCACTGGCCGGCGAGCCGAGTGCCCCTTCCCTCCGTGGCCACATCTGTGCCGACTCCCCTCCTGTGGGCTTCGCCTTGTCTCCGAGCCCTTGTCTCCCTGAGTCCCACTGAGGCTCTGCCATGGCTTGGGGAGAGGGGGCCTCGTGGACTGGTTCCGTGGGGTCGCCGTGCCATCCGCTACGGTCCCTGCCGACTGGCCTGGCCCTTTCTTCTCCCACCGACAGCGGTCACTGGCACCGTGACGCCCGGAGAACTGCAGCAGCCGCAGAGCAGTTAGGATCGTCCGGGAGCCGCGGGGCTCTAGGATCAGACAGCTGGACAGGCCTGTGGGCTGTGACTGCCCCCAGGGCCCTGTTTCCAAGAAAGGCACACAGAAGCCCCAAAGCTGACCGACCTGACCTCAGGTGGGCAGAGCGCCTGCTCTACCTCACGTCAGACCTTCTGCTGGGGCTGGTGTGCGGGGAGGTGACACCCTGGGTGCCCTCTTCTGAGTCCCAGTGGGCTGCTGAGTGGAGACCCCCACTTCGGCCTGGCCGGCCCAGCCTTGGCACACGGGTGCCTGAATGCTGTGGGGGCCTCTGGCTCCGGGGGGGGGAAGGGTCCTGTGGGGGTGCACGGGGCTTCTCCGCCAGGGGCCACCTTCCTCACCATGCCTCAGGTACCCTGGCGGCTCTCCAGCGGGACCTCCGCAGCTGGTCTCCAGGGGTCCCTGCCATGTCTGGGCTGGGGAAGGTCAGGAGGCCCTGGGCCCGCCTGTGCTCCCGGCTCAGTTCTCACACCTCTTCCAATGCTTTCTGCTGCATGGTCTCAGGAGCAGATTTTAAAGATTTTATTTTTTTAAGAAATCTTTGCAGCCAATGTGGGGCTTGAACTTACATCCCTGAGGTTTGTTTGTTTGCTTTTTAAGATTTTATTTACTTGAGAGAGAGAGCAGGAGCGGGGAGAGGGAGAGGCAGGGAGGGAGAAGCAGGCTGCTCCACCGAGCAGGGAGCGGGATGCGGGACTTGATCCCAGGACCCCCAGGATCATGATCTGATCAAAGCAGATGCTTAACAACTGACCCCCCAGGCGCCGGATGTGGGACTTGATCCCAGGACCCTCAGGATCATGATCTGATCAAAGCAGATGCTTAACAACTGACCCCCCAGGCGCCCCCGAACTTAAAAACCGTGAGATGGAGAGTCACAGGCTCCACCACCTGATCCGGCCAGGCGCCCCTGCCTCTGTGGGTTTTAGACCGTGTCTGGCCCTTGGCTGGGTGGGAAGGGATGTGCGGCTGCACGTGCCATGTGGACCCGGAGACCTGGCGCGCCTGGAACGGGAGACCCCAGTGGCTGCGGGAGGCAGCTCGGAGGGGACCGGGACCCCTGAGCCCCCTCTCCCCGCCAGGGCCAGCCATGGAGGACCGAGCGGCCACCGTCATCCAGTGCGCCTTCCGGCGGCTGCTGGCCCGGAGGGAGCTGGCGCGCCGGCGGCGGGAGCGGCGGGACTACCGGCAGCGGATGGAGCAGCTGCGGCGGGACGTGAGGCGGGGCTGCGCGGCGGTGGGGGCGGCCGGGACCCCCGGAACCCCAGGGGGCGGTGCGCGCGCGGGTGGGGGCTCCTCGGTCCACGTGTGCCCGCAGGCCTTCGTGGCCCTGGTGCGCAGGGAGCAGGAGGCGGCGCGGCGGCGGCGGGCGGCGGCGGCGGCGGAAGAGCGGCGGCGGCGGGAGGAGCGGCGGCGCGGGGCGCGGCTGCGGGAAGCGGCCTTCGACGGCGACCCTGGGCGAGATCCGGGCGGTGCTGCAGGAGGTGCGCGGCGGCGGCGGCGGCCGGGGCGGGGGCGGCCGGGCTCCCGCGCGCTCACCGCGGGCCGCGCGCAGGCGGACGAGCTGCTGACCCGCGAGGGCCTGGGCCACGACGAGGCGGGGGCGGCGCGGCGGCGGCGGCGGCGGGTGGCGCTGGTGGAGAGCGAGGACGCCGGTGGGAACACGCCGCTGTCGGAGGCGGCGGCCGGCGGGCAGCCCCTGGCCATCCAGCTGCTGGCCGAGCAGGGCGCCAGCCCCAACAGCAAGGTGGGTGCCGGGCCGGGGCCGGGGGCCACGCGCCACGGCTGCCCCCGCGGAGCCCAGCTCAGGAGCCCCTCGCGCAGGGCGCCTTCGGCCGGACGCCGCTGTACCGAGCAGCCTTCGGGGGGCATCTGGAGGCCGTGGAGGTACTGCTGAAGCTCGGAGCGGACCCGCGGGTGTACGCGGATGACGGCAGCACCCCGCAGCAGGTGTGCGCGCGAGCGCGGCCCCGGGCAGGGCGCGGGCAGCTTGGGCTGAGGCTCAGAGCCACGCTTGCCTGCAGGGGGCCTGGGGCACTGGCCCGCGGGGAGGAGGAGGAGGGAGGGATCCGGAAAGGGACGTGGAGACTGTGTGGTCTTGGCAGGGGAGGCCCAGAGGACCCCTGGGTGTCTCCTTTTGGGGGCAGCTGTGCCGTGATGGTCATGGCTTTGGGGCGTGATTCTGCCAGTTGGCGCCCTTTTTTGTAAAATGGGAGAGTCAGGGGGAGCACGGAACCCAGCACTGAGCTCCTGGCCAGTGTCATCCATCCCTAGGTGGCCTCCCTGGACACTGTAGCCCATGTGCTGCAGTCGTGGGACCTGGACCTCACAGATGCCATGCTCCAGAACATGGACGCTGAGAGGCAACGCCGGGCCCGGGAGGCTGAGCAGCAGGAGGAGGCAGAGGCCAGGCGGTGCGCCCTGGGGAGGGAGGGAGGGAGGCAGGGGGTGGCGGGGAGGGCCTCCGATGACTGGGCTGCTCTCCCTACCAGCATGAACCTCAACGTACAACAGCTGGTGAAGGCACAGCACCAGCGGCAAACGCAGGTAAGCAGGCCCTGGGCCCCGGGAGGTGGGGACAGGCGGGGTTGGTGGGGTGGGGGATGCCCTGCAGGCCCGGGCCTCTGTGGGATGGAGCTGGTCTGGAGAATGCCGGGACAGCCCGCCTGGGCCCTCGTGTCCAGCTGCAGCAGGCCTACTGCGAGCTCAACCGGAGGACCGCGGAGCACGAGGAGTGCGCACGGAGGGACCCGCGCCGGGCCGATCTCACCCTGCAGGTGAGCTGTCGCCCTCTTGGGCCCGGGCTTCCATGGCCTGCGTCCCCCTCCAGACCGTGGGCGCCACCTTCCAGCAGCAGCCTCTGGGGGCATCTGGGCCGCTCCGCGTGGAGGGGGGTAGGCTCACTCAGAGCGGAGCGTGGGGCCCTTCCTCTCGTGCAGGCCATCGAGGATGCGGAGGCCCGAGTGGACAGGCTGCGGCTGGAGGCCCGGGAGGCTGCGGAGGCGCTGGCCATGGCCAGGCTGGAGCTTCGGGAGCAGACACAGGAGGGTGGGCAGTGCTGGGGGGCAGGGTGCCGGGCCCAGGGAGGGGTGTGGTAATCGGGTCCTCCCGTCAGTGGCCCGCCCCACTTGTGACTCCCCCATAGGCGGGGAGGAGGAGATGCCCGGGCTGAAATGCCGGGTCCCCGAGCTGCACGACGTACTCATGAAGGACGTGGGTGGCCGCATCCGCGCAGACGGCCGGTCAGTGGTGGTGACTGGGTGGGCCGGCGGCCAGAGGCACTGGGTGGGCAGCAGTGACCCGGTGACCACTCCCAGGTGGCCACTTGTTATCGACCCTTCGGGCCAGGCAGCCACCTTCCTGCGCTACCAGGACACCAACTACGTGGCTGCAGTGAACCCGGCGCACCTGCGGCCAGAGAGGCTCCGGCTGGCGCTGCTGGGGGCGCTTAGGTAGGCTGGCGGCATGGGGGGGGTTTCCCCCGGGCCGCGCACCTCACCCACGGCGCGCCCCGTAGGTACGGGAAGCCGCTGGTGTTCGACCTGTGCGAGGTGGACCTGTTCCCCGTGGTGCAGCAGCAGCTGGAGGCCGTGCGGCCGGGGCTGGCGCAGGAGCTGCTGGGCGGGGGTCTCCTGGAGCACGAGCGCTACCTGTCGCTGCTGCGGCCGGCTGACGGGCCCGAGTACAGCCCCGCGCAGTTCCAGCCCGCGCGCCTGGGGCGCTTCCGTGCCATCTTCGTCACCAAGGCCCAGTGGTCGCCGACGGAGCAGCTGCAGGTGCTTCTCCCCGTGCGGGTGCTGCTCCCTGGCGGGGGCCTCTAGGGCCTCGGGCCCAGCCTTGTGGCGGCGGACAGATGGATAGACAGGAAGTAAAATGTAGTCAATTTTATTCCTCTTAAACCACAAAATAGAGTCTTTGGTTGTACAAACGTCACTAGTTACAGTCTTGCCGACGGGTCCCAGCGGGGGAGGGGTGGTTAGTCAGCGGCCGGAGCTCCCGCCGGGTCTCTTGAAAACGCTAACACCCAGGTTAAAAGACTCGGGGTCAGGGTGGCGGTGCGGCTGGCAGGGTCCCCTCCCCAAGTCGAGAGGAGGCACCAGGAGCCTCTAGGAGGGCACAGGGCCCAGGCCGCGGCGTCCAGGCCTCATGGGCCGCCGGCTGCTGCACAGTGTCACCTCCTCGGGGCCTGCGGTGCCCGGCGAGGGTCTGCCCAGGAGCACCATGGCCACTTCTCCGTCCTCCTCCTGCAGGCCTGGCAGGCAAGGCGGGCAGGCAGTGAGTGATGGGGGGGTGGGCAGTCGCCCTGAGCGCTGCCCCGGGGCCGAGCCTGTTGACTCACCAGGGCTAGGAGACGGTTCCAAGGACCTCAGCTCCTCAGCAAAGTCTGGGGACTGCGAGGGGGAGAGGGGGGGGTCAGGACTGCAGCCCGGGCCTTGCAGCCGCCCCCAAGAGCCTGGGTGGGGGTCCCCGCGCCCACAGGCCTCGAGACAGGCAGAGAGGGGCACGGGCCAGGCTAGCAGGTGCGCGCGGCTGTCCTGCGGGCGGGCCTGGTACCTGCAGGTCATGGACAGGTCTGGAAGAAGGGAGGGCTGCGAACACCCTGTAGTCAAACTTCCTCCCAGACAAGGCCTTGGAAGGACAGCGTGAGGGAGAAAGGCAGAGAGTGTGAAGAGGGCGAGAGAAGGAGAGGGGAGGGGAGTCTGGGGAGGGGTGCAGGGTAGCAACAGCTGTGGCTCCTCACCAGACGTCCAGGGGAGCTGCCGGTCTGGGGCCCGAGGTCTGAGGGGACAAGAAGTGGGCGTTGGGAGAGGTCTGGGCTGTGGGGCAGGCCGCCCACCTCTGCCCGGCCACAGACCTTCTACAGGGGTGGGCGACGGGGTGGGTGCGGGCGAGGGGGCCTCGGCCAGCCGCTCCAGGGGCCCCCGCCTGCTCCGGCCGTCCTGGGACTTGCTGAGAACCATCTGGGCGCGGAGAGCGTCCTGCTCCAGGGACTTCATCCTGCGGGCCGAGGGGAGGCGGTGCTGGGCGGGTGGGTGGTGCAGCCGTGGGGCTGGGCTCGGCCTCACAGGGCCACCAGGGCCTCACCTCGCTGCCCTCCAGAGTGCACGCTTCTCGGCCTCCAGGGCTCGCCGCTCGGCAGGGGACAGAGCCCGGTCGGGCACCTGCATGGACAGCTCCGGGCTCTGAACGCGGAGCCGCTCCTGCTGACGGCGCTCGGCTTTGGCCGTGCGCACCGGGGCGCTGCCTCCGAGAGGCTGGGGGGATGAGGGGCTGAGCCTGGGATGGGGGACAGGGCGGGAGGGGCAGGTGGGTGAGGTGCAGCCAGCACAGGGTCACCCGGAAGATGGCGGGGGTCCCCGACTCAGCTCAGCTCAGCTCAGCTCACCCCGCGGCAGGGCCGGCCCAGGGTGCTGGCTCCTCCGGCTCCTCCCCGTCCAGGTCCAGGGCGAGCCCGCCGGCCTCGGCCTCCCGCAGCAGCTGCGCCCGCTTCTGCTGCAGCTTCCGGGCTGGGGGCGCGGGCAGGGCCGGGGCGTCACGTCAGGTGGGATGTCCGCCCGGGCCTTCCTGCCCAGCCGCGTGGCCGCCCACCTGGCCGCCCACCACCTACCTTCCTCCTCGTGCATCTTGCGCAGGTCGTCGGCACCCACCAGGGACACGCGCTTCGGGGGGCCCTCAGCCTGGGGCACCCGCACCTCCAGCTCAAAGTACTTCTGCCGCTCACGGAAAGACAGCTGCTCCGGGGAGGCCGTGGCCCCGGGGGGAGGGGGCTGCGGGAAGTGGGTCCTGAGACCTGGCGCCTCCGGGCACACGGCCCAGAGGCCCTCGCGGCCGAAGGGCGGGTGGCCCGCTGTGTACCTGGGTGGGGGTGTCCTGCGGTGGGTGCGGGCCAGGCACGGCGGCGAAGGTCCTATAGGCTTGCTTCACGTTGGTGGGCAGTGCGTCGGGCGACGGTGGGGCTGGGGGCTGGGGAGGGACCACACGTGAGCAGAGCCAGGCCAGGACAGCTGTCCCCGCCAGCTGCCTCTGACTGCCGTGCCCCGTGGGCCCGAATACTCACAAAGTGGGGTCCCCTCTATCCCTGGGGACCAGGGAGCCTTCGGTCAAGCCCAAGCCAGGCTTCTCAGCAACAGGCAGGGGCGGGGACCAGGAGGTGGCACTGGGGTTCTGGTAAAGGGCTGGGGGGCGGGGCGGTGCTGGAGCAGAGAGACTTGGGGCCAGAGGGGTGGCGGCCGGGGTGGGTGTCCAGGGGCACAGGGCCGACACTCACCTGTCTGCCGCCTGCTGAGAAGGGGCAGAGGCTGGCAGCTGGCCTCCAAGCTGGGCCTACCAGTGCTAACCCCCAACCACGGGCAGTAAGAGTGGGAGTGCCCTGGCCTGGCCCTCCCATGCAGCAGACCCAGGGAGCCTCAGAAGGACCACGTTGGCCCCCAGGGACTCAGGCACAAGTGGGCAGGTAGAGGTGAGGCAGCCCTGAGCCCCCATTCTGTCCAGGAGCCACAGAGAGCTGCCCCCCCACCCCACCCACACTGCCAGCCACCTCTAGCTGGGGAGGTGCTCACAGGCTGTGCCCTCACAGGAGGAGCAGCTGGGGGGAGGGGCCATCCCCTGGCACCCCTCCCTGGATGGGGGTGCCCCAGACACTCACCTGCTGGCAGCTGGGGGAGCAGGGGCTCTCCGCCATCTTCCCTCCTGTTGCCCCAGATTGTATCTGCAGGGGTCAGGCAGTGCTGGGGTGAGGGGCAGGCAAGGCTGGGGCCCCACGAGAAAGAGCTCTTGGGGTAGGGGGTGTTTGCCCAAAGCTGCTGCTCCATTCCCCAACCCAAGCCCAGCCCAGAGCAGGTGCACTATGGCCTAACCACGGGTCAGCCAGCATGAAACTGTTTTCCCTAAGGGACTTGGAGTCCGCCAGGCTCCCTCTGCCCCGATTGTGCCAGGGAGACAGGAAAGAGGCTCTCCCCACACGGGGCAGGGGGGAAGCAGCTGTTCCACGAGCAGTTTCCCCTGCTACCCTCCCCTGAGGGTATGACGGGGGTGAGCCAGGGAGGCCCCAACTGCCCTCTGCCAGCCCCGAGCGAGGCCCCCAGCCCTCCTGGGCCTCCCCGGCTGCTGGAGGATGCACTGAAGCCCACAGGCCCTTCCCGCACAGCCCCCACCCTCCCTGCGGTGCCTCCTAGAGCCCAGCAGGCAGCCACTCGCCTCCCTGAAGGCCTTTGGAGGACAGCCGGCTGGGCACAGCCTCTGCGAGGGCTATTCACAGCTCTTGTGGGAGGGACAAGACCAACTATCCATCCTGCCCGGTGCCTGCCGCCCCCACCCCTGGCCCCGGTCTCCACTTCTCAAAGTTGCTCCAGGCTGTTCCCGCGCAAGCCCACCATGACGCCCCAAAGGCCACCGGGGCCTCCAGCTGCCCGTGTTCCCCACTCTGCAGCCGGCTCGGTGAGTCTGGGATGAGGTGGGGCTCCCGGGACCCGGGCTGAGCCCTCAGCTGCCTCATGGCTTGGCTCCAGGTGAAGAGGGACCTGGGCCGGATCAGGAGGCAGAGCTCCGGCGTGGACGCCCGTGTCCTATGTCCCCTGCAGGCCCCATGCCCCAGGGTCTCCGTGGCGAGCGGGGGCTCGGGCAGGGGCAGGACAGAGCTCCGATGGGGAGGTGGACAGCCGGCCGGGGACGTGACTGGGACACTGACCCTCTGCGTGCTGCTGGCGCTGGGGACGGCGGCTAGAGTGCGGTAGTCCAGCTTGAGGCTCTCCGAGCTCAGGCCCTGGGGGGCAGAATCCACAGTGCTGCGAGGGGCCGGGTCTGCGCCCGAGCGGGGCGCTGGTGGACGCCACCAAGAGTGCCTGCCGCCCCCCGCCGCCCGCCGCACTGTGTCCGCCCTCGGGCCCCGCGGTTCTTCGGTGGGGGGCGGGGGGGCAGCCAGAATACGAGAAGCCGGTGCGGAGGGTGGGGACGCCCAGACACTCACCACAGCCTCCAGTCCCCACGGTGGCGTCTGTCCCGGTGGCTCCTTCTCCTGCGAGCAGAGAGGATGCCGGTCAGGGGCTGCCGGCCTCGGACCCCCCAGCCCCGGGGCTGCCGGCTGCCGGCGCTTCTGACCTTGGTGGAGCCCTCGGGGCTCAGCTCGCGGTCGATGGAGGAGACGCTCTCCAGACTGTTCCGGCGGCCGAGGCCTGCTGCGAAGGGGTTGGCGATGACGCCTGGGGACACCTGAGGAGAGGAGCAGGCTAAGGGCGGGGCCCCCCGTCTCAGGGTCCCTCCAGTTGTTGGCTACAGCCCCAGCCGAGGCGGCCTCCGGGGCAGGGAGGTCTGTGAGCGGTGCTGCTGGCCACAACCCCGTCTGCAACACGGGGTGGCTACGGGTCACGGAAGCACGTCACGGGCACCGGGGGCCGTTCCAACGCGTGGCAGGAGCAGGGGAGGCCGACTGTGGACACTGAGCCGGAGGCACCTGGTGGCTGTTCTGGAATCTGCAGCGCGAGCACCCAGAAAGGACTCTGAAATAAAGGCTGTGATGCAGGAGAAACCTCGCAGCTCTGAGCAGGGGAGAGCCCTCGGTCCGGTGGCCAGGGCGGGGGAAGGAGGGCGCGTGGCCCACCCATGAACTGTGCTGTGACCGCGAACCCTGAAAGTGATCACAGGCGACGAAAACACAGACGAGGGCAACATCTCGGCCTGGGCTGAGAGCAGGAGCCAGAGCGGGGGCGGCACGGAAGACCCCCTCCCCCCATGGGAACGGCCCATGTGGCTGAGACACAGACCGGGTGCGGCAGCCACTGAGAAAGGCCGAGTGCGAGAGAGAACGAGGTGATGGCAGGGCAGT